AGGGAAAGAAACTTCACAGAAATCAAGCTTCAGTGTGTTTGCTTCTTTTGAGCTGTTATGACAGCTTTAGTGGGAAGCTGAAGACTAATTTCTTACATTCAAAAAAGCCTAGTGTATTTTACTGCAATTTTATCGTAATAACCCATAATAGCCAATGTCTGAGCTACATATCATCTTCTGAATTGTAAACCAAAGATGAAAATTACAGACTGTAGCATATCAAATAAAGATCTTTTGTACCATTTTTAACTATTTGAAGTTACTCTCATAAGTATTTTAACTCATTTCTTGGGTAACTTTTCAAAATGTTAGAATGGAGATTGATAGCAGAGCACAACATAATTCAATTAATTTATTCCCAATCACAAACAGCAGATATTGCACTGATACTCACAGCACTATCAAATTCTATGCTTGTAATCCCAGCATTACTACCAGAGAGGGAACCTTTGGGCTCACACCTATCTGCACAGAGAAAGACAAACGAAACTTAAGCAAAGGATTATAGAACAGAAACCGACACAAAGTAAACTATAATATGAGTTTGTTTAGCGTCCCACCATACCCCAGAGCAAGAAAGTTTACCTCCCAAGACTTCCCAAAGCTTAACCCTCCGGTCCATGCCTCCTGTCGCTAGTAACCGGGAACCAGGGCTGAACTGCACTGCATTCACCTCCCCATCATGTGCATCCTGAGGAGGGGGAGGAACAGAACAGCCACCCAAAATGGAATTAGCAAAGACCCAAAAAACCACAGATTAGAAAGCTATAGAACTTCAAGGTCATACAGAACCACAATTGTAGATATTTCAGTAGTATATAGGAAACAAAGCCGCAGATTAAAACTCTACAATGGTTGACAGTGTACAAACAGAACAAAAAGGCTCATCCTTATCTAAAGGAAAAAACAAAAGCACATAAAGAAAAACAGTAGCAAAGACTCAACAGTGATAAAAAACTGCCAGAAGCCTTACAGTGATTTGTAAGTTAAAAGCCTTGTCTTATAAAGCCTAAATTTACACCAGAAAAAAATTAAGGAAAGGACAGGACAAAAACCAGTAACAGGCGATATATTGTAGAAGGAAACTAACTTTTCATTTCTCCATCTAGAGCCAGCCACGGAACATGATCTAATCAGTTCATGCAACCACAGAACACTGAAGTCAGGCTTGAGTTAGGAAAGTCTGCTAGAAAACAGCATAACAGATTAACTGCATTCATTTAGTGTATTGGTGATAATGCTACTTTATATTAGTGATTAAGTAGTACCAGGACAGTTGCAACAGCACCTTCTCTCACAGAGAACTTGGGCTTAAGCTGTGGTTCCTATCTGCAGGCGCAGCGACACCCCTGCTTTCTCACAACTTAACGTTTTGAAGCTGGTGTTGGCCACCTAATAGTCATTCTGAACCTTTTAAAAACTATGAGAATTTTAAGTTTCCTTCCTTTTTTTTACCCCTGCTAATGTCAGAGCTTTATACTACTTACCCACACAGCACCAGTACCACATTCTTAATTCATTTTCTGCATTCCCTTTTAAGGATTTTCATTAACTGCTCTTTCAAAATCAGTTTTTCTTGAAACTTGTATTTTTCTGGAACTTGTTGCTTGAACTTGGTCTGCCAGCTCATATTTAGGGGTCATCACATTTCATATCTGATCTTTCTAGAAGTGCAGGAAAGCCATTCAGAACAAAACCGGTCAAAGGTCTTGCCTAGACACTATGCCCAAGAATGCCAGCTGAAGCAGCTGCCCTCTCCACCTTCCAAAGCCTGTTCTACTCATCTCTCCCGAAGTGAGCCCGGTCTGCTCCATGTATCTGCCAAATCCCTGGCACAGAGTGCTTGCATTCATTCCTGGAATGCTCTGCTGGACCTAGACACATCCTCACACTCCACCTGGGCTCCAAACACAGGAACTAAAACATAACATAGATCATCTCCAGAAGGAACATACGGATTCCCACAAAATGAGTAGGGACTTGTTCCTTCTAGTAGTGCAGCGCTAACCATACATCACTTCCACACCGCCACAGTCCGACAGGCTTACTACTGCAGCTCTTCCTACTCCTGTGGCAAGACAGGAAATTGGAACAGGGTGGCACAGTATACTGTGGTTTGCCCCTCCATATTGGGAAGACAGGGTCCACTGCTCTTGGAAGTTCAAATGACACTACAGAAGATCAAGAGAAAGGTGAAAACATAACCTCTCATGTGGTTCTTGAAAACCTCACACATATAGCTTTGCAATACCTTTTATGATGAAATGAGCCAGGATTATACCTGTCGATCGACTGTGCTTGCTGCACATAGCCAGAGGAGGAGAGAGGCTGCAACACACACTGCAGCCATGAACATCTCCTCTGATGCTCCCCATTGAAGCCAGCTCCAGACTGTCACTAAAGTTATGACTCGATTCTCACTTCAGATAACATCGCTACTCCCTCCACCCCATGATTTCCACTACAGAAGACGGTAACAGAGCAGTCTAGGAATGCACAAGCCTTCATGCTGCAATGAGCCGCTCTGTTACTCTGGATGAAAAAAATAAGTAATATTATATCCATGAAATATCCACATCCAGCACTGGAGTGCCTGAGAAAGCTCAAGAGGAACATTCAAACAAGCAGCTGCGTTACAAGACAATTTACCACGGTATCTTTCATTCAGAAGGCAATGCCCCTCACAGAAATCTAAGTTTGGCCTTGTGAGGCCAAAACAACACATGAAGGAGGTCTCAGCTTGAAAACTTTAGATCACACACAATAAATGAAGACACCCCACTACCACAAGCTCCTCTTAACCAGTTCTGTTGGACTACACTCAGTTCCACAACTCCCTTCACTGTGGAGAACTGGAACTGAATTAATCCCCAACTGTCAGCAATCTCTTCCTCCATCATAGCTCTACTACGGCATGACAGAACGAGGACTGCTGGGAGCCAAGAGGGTAATGGAGTGCAATTCCCCTGTGCCCTCAGACCTTTTACTAGTCATCATCGACCTCAGCAAGACAGACATCAAGCACACTGGCTCTGAGGAGCATTTGGGCTAAGAATTAAGCAGTATGAACTATGGTACCAAATCAAGAATTCCTTCTTGTTTGGCAGTATTAATGGAAGGAGGTTCAGGAGATCAGTTCCCACACAGACAGGATTCCTCCTAAGGCAGTAAAAGGAATGGCAGAACCGGGAATTCCTTTTATACTTACAAAGACACATATGGCAGTAGTGGGCACTCTCACTTCTTTACTGGCACCTGGATGTGGCTCTACATTATCCTGGGGAGCAGGGAACGAGGACAAAGAACGCCTCCTGAGATGAAACAAAGTAGAAATATTTTAAAAGGAGAAGTGAATGCTGTTTCTCTTGAGTTCATCCAGATCGGTACCTGTCACTCAGCTACACTGCACAGTGACTAAAAAACGGGGCAAGGAGTTTTTAACTTTCTTTTATCCCATCTTTCTAAAACTACATTTGTCATATAACACTACATCCAGTTGTGGCTTCACCTATTTCATAGTATGCCAGATAAGTTACCTGAACTGATTACTGACCTCATTTTGGAGCACTTTGTTTTAACAGGAAAGAGAAACATGGGAATGGCTGCAGCTGAGTTCAGCTGGAAACACCACAACTCCATCATTACGTCTAGGGAGACTCAACTCTATTGCAACGCTATATCCCAGGCAGCAAAATGCTCCATTCAAAAGCTCAGGCTGCACCATTTAAGCAAAGACCGTCCAGCTAATGCAGAACTTGACTTAGAAGGACTGGCTCCACTCTGGATACCAGGCACAGAACCCAACGACTTATTTTAAGTAACCCTATTAGAGGGGCAAAGTGCAGTGGAAAGTAAGAGCAAACCCCGTGAATTCTCTCCACAAAGAGGGGCTCATTGCCTCTCTAACTGTAGACAGTTTCTAGCCAGTGTTATCATGATATTTCAAATCTAAGCAGGATAATGCAGCTGGGTTCCATGTTACTTCAACGGAATACATGCTGGACTAAGAGCGGATAACGTTTTCACCTGGCAGCATCAGAAGATTGATGTCCCAAAAGGGGAGACTCAGACAGACTGGAGGGAAAGGTCAGAGGTCAGCACACGGCAAGATGGAAGAAACAGGAAGTTGAGGAGAACAAAAAAAGAAAAAAAAAAGAAAGGCAGAAGCTAGAAGAAAGCCTGAAATTATGTTTGTATTCCCTGCATCACCAAGATTTTGGTGTACATTGAAACCAATATACAAAACAAAGAGGTGAAAGTGTTCTAACCTACCCAAAGATATTAGTGATAGAGTCCAGAAGGCCTCCAGCTGGCTGGGAGAGTCGCTTACTGAAGGAGGGGAGGACAGGTTTAAACCTTGTGAATAGCTTCTCCACATAAAGATCAATACAAACACATTTCATAGCGACAAGTCTCTGGAAAGACTCCCTCCCCTGCAGACCCAGTCCGAAGACAGAAAACACCAGAGGCACGCATCAGTTCAAAAGTCACCAGTAACTACAACTCGGAACATCATTTGTGAGTGAAGTTTATTCAGTTTCCCTCAACCTCCACCCTGTGAATTACTGGGTTTAGCTACAACCGTCTGCCAAGTCTGAAGTTTCAACCAAATTAATCCATGCTTTCATGTAACTACCTCTTACTTTCCACTCACTGCAATTTTAGAGGAAGAAAACGATGCATTTAATCTAGGTGAAGCTATTTTCAGCATTTCTGCTAAATCAATAAATGTCGGTAACACTCCCAGCATTGTTCCAACTCTTCCATCCCTTGTGCTTCCTCAATGACATGACACAAAAATCTCTCGGTCTACAAACCTGGATGTTCGGCTGACAGCTCGCACCGGAGATGTTTCCTCAGCTGTGTCAGAGGTTTCATCTGCAAGCACTTCAATATCATCATCCCTGCTGAAATGAGAGAAAACACTTTGTTTTCAATCAGCCAGAGCTTCCTATGGAAGCCACCCACTGATGAACTGAGCAGATGACAGTGTTCCGGGGTCTGTCGGTGTCTGCACCCAACCTGCATCTGGGTTTTCTCAGCTGTAGTAACATGCAGGTAGATCCAGACTACACAGACACTGATCCAGCTGTCACTGCTTGAGATACTACATTCACCATACAACATCCAAAACCAAGTACATGCAGAACCTAAATCTCAGTTTTTTCTTTCCAGCTGACACCTACACTCTTCACTGACAAGAGGGTTCAGTTTCCTCCCTCCCCCCATATTTATGTCGACGGGCACCCTTTCCAGATTGTCTTTATTACAGGCATTATATTTCAGCTTGCAGCACTACACACAGCAGCATAAGGATCTATCACATCTGAGCAAGATTTTGCTACAGAGTGAACTGTATTTGTTGGAATAATTACAGAACAGCAAAACCATGAGTTCTTGCAAGCCCAAATATAGGTGATATCCTATTTTCACAGCACCTTTTTTGCTGTTCCAAAACTAGGAAGGTATTGAAAAAATGCACAAGTGTTTGAATTTTCCTTCTTCATCCACACACATATTTGGATACTTTCTCTACTGTTGTACTTCGGGTGCTGCTCCAGTAAGTACAGGGGATGCTTTGGTACACTTCATTAAAGTGTTGGTGTACAACTGCACAGAAGTGTGAGGTTCCAGTACATATACCATGAACTAAACTACTCAGCTAATGCGAAAAGGTTTTTCCTTATTAGTCATCACGGGCTCTGACAGTGTAGTATTTTTTCCTCCAGTGATGATTTTTCCTCCACAGCTGATTTTGCAGGACAAACTATTTTTAAACACACTCTACCAATCTGATGCCATTTGACTGAACAGGAAGCTTAAATTCATCATTTAAAGTAGGAATAAACCAATTCCTGCCACCAGATAACACTCATCTGCAAAAGAATTGAAGACGATGGCACCGTTTTTAATCCCTCATTTCAGAATATAGCTGTACTTTAAGTTCTAAGATTTTGCAGGACAGTATATATGAAAAGGCTATGGAAAATATATACTCTGACAGGATCAGGGTGATGTTTCAATAAAACACTATCAAGTTCTGCTGATATTTCTTTTTTAAAATCTAAAGTTTGAGTTATTAAAACTGTATGTAGCAAAAAAAATTCCATGTTAACATTATTTTCGAAGTGAATATAAACAGCGGGCATAATCCTTGAAATGGTGCAATTTTCTCCTTCAGTAAGCAGCACATTTATACAACACAAATGCTCTACAATTACAAAATCAGAAAGAAGTAATCAAAAACATCTGTGAAGCAGAATTTGAGACATTTACAGAAGTAATTATTTTCTATTTTTTTTTTTTTTAAACAGGCTTCTTCATAACTTCAGTGTCTTGTATCAAATTACTCACGAAACACCAAGACCACCATTCCCACCGCAACAGGAAGTAAAATATTCAAGCTGTTGCAATACAGCTGCTTCTGAGCTCAGGTCTAAGATAAGAAGGTCTCAGTTTGGGTAACGAAGACAAAGAAGCTTAGAGGGAAAGTGGCCACAGACATTACACGTGGATTTCCCCTCTCAGTGCAACATTATTTATTGAAGAGTTTAATATTCTAAGATATTCCACATGTGTTTACATCAAATAACGTGGACAAAAGGGATATCACTGTTCTTACGAGCTGGGAAGACTGTCCTCCGGCTTGGAACTGTCCGCTGGCCTGTGACACAGAGCTCAGCAGTGATCCTGTCATGGAGAGTCACACCTCAACAAGCTGTACCTACAGGTACTCAAGTACCTGTTCCTACAGGAAATCCTTGATCATAGCTATTTGTAGTCTAACACTTAAAAATGTTGGCATCTCAGGACTATACTGCTCCATGATTAGAGAACTTCTGTAAGATCAAAGGCACCACATGACAGATGTTTTTATGCTGAGATAATGCTTCACCTTGTGAACTGTTCTTAGCACTTTCAGTCCAAGCATCTATTTTCAGTCATAACAGAGCTCCATCTTCTGGAAGTTCAGCTAGGGAGAGTTACTGTACATTTTTGACTCTGCACCAAAATTTAAACACTCCTTTACATCACCAAATTTAGAAGTAAGAGATATTATTTATCATGCATCTGTATGAAATTGAAGCATGAAGTTATGAAGGAGACCCTGTAAATCAATCAAGACTGCTTACGGTTCAACAGGCAGGGGTTCTTTGGCAGCTTCTGCTAGCTCCTTCTGCAGCCTCGCTTGTCGTCTCCTGAGATGAGGAAAAGAAGGTTATTTAAAAAAAAAAAACCAAAACCAAACAACAAACTTCCTTAATCCAATTCCAAAGGTTACCCTTGCATAGTTTTGAAGGGCTTCATAAGATTTCAAAATAAATCAGACCACTGCTCTAATTTTATCCTGCGTTTCAAAATACTCAGTGCATTTTTCTTACTGCGAATAGCAAAGGACAAGATCAACTGAGTGAGGCATAAGGTGAAGTGCACCTACAGCCCTTTATGACCCACAAGAATGTGGATTTGTGCAAAGTGCAAAAACTTGAAAAAATAATGATTATGTTAGTAAAGATAATACAAAACTGCCAAGTACTACGAGACTTGTCTTACAATTCTTAGTCTCCAAGTATTGTTAGTTGGCATGTAAGCTGAAACAATTCAGAAGAAAAATTACTATTTCACACGGGAAAAAAAGCACAAACTTATTTTTGCAAGTTATAGATAGTTCAGTCTCACGGCAGCTTCTCCTTTTAGCAGAATGCACAATACACTTAAATTGGTTACGTCAACAAAAGGATAAACTTGTAGTAGTATCAAGATGCAATACAAGCAAGAAAAGATCAAATCTAATACCAGCAGAAAAAAAAAAGTTTCTATCTGATATATGATTGTTAGGCCATAGTTAAATGTTGCTCAAGAAACAAAAGAACATGTTTTATTCATTTAAAAGACAGGAATGTTTTCACAAAGCATTCGTCTGTGTTGGCCAGAAGAAGGAACACAAAGTTCTGGACTCTCATTGTGTTGTGCAAGAATAGAGAGATCTCAGAGATCAAAACTAAATCTGGTTTTATCCTATGCACTCGTAAGTATCCAAAAAGTACACTGGGATGTAGTTTATCAAATAGAGGGCCTCAGTTTCACCTTGAATCCTTTTCATTTTCTGCATTCAAACGATTGGCTTCTTGTGCTTTCTCTGCCATCCAGCGTGAGACCAGCTCCTGGTTGTCTTCAGTAGTTTTCCTCAGCTTCTCCTCCAAGGCATTGAAGGTGATCTGGAGAGCATCATATTCATCTTTCAGTGTCTGATTAGCTCGCTCGAGATCCTGCAGTTTGCTACGCAATTCCTGGCACTCTGTTTCCAGTTCAGAGATCTTTTGCAAATACTCTGCAATCCTGGAACGGCAACAAAACATAGAAAACAATGAGGATCTCCTTTGGGACCTATACCATCCACCACTGAGCTATCTGTACAAAGCCTAACAAAGGAATTTTAGCCCACGGCTAGGACTCCTAGAGAATATTATAACATTAATAAGTAACTCAACCAGAAGTCTGGGTCTCATACCAATCACACAGATGCAACAGTTCCTACTCACTTTGCTTCATTCATCTGCATCTCTTTGTCCTTCTGCTGCATTTGGTTATTCAGATCAATTACAGACTGGGCCAACTAGGGAGAGGAGAAAATTACATTACAAACCGCAGGGATGCCAGCTGGATAACACACACTGAGCAGCAGCCAGTGCGAGCACAGACCAGTCTAACACCACAGGCAGGAGGTATACCTGTCAGGTCTTCTTTCACAGCTTTCTATACAGATCTGTCTACTGCCCCTGTCACACAGGTCATTAAATCAGGGAATCTACTTTCAAGTATGAGGGGTCAAAAAGTTGATATCCTTTAACATCTCACTCCCTTCCCTCAAACCTTCAACATCTCACTCCCTTCCCTCAAAAAGTTTCTTTAATAAAGTCACATCAAACAGAATGCATATTAGGAAGAATTTTTTATTTTTTGAAGTCGTGGAAAAAAATCAATACAGAAACTAAAAACTGCCAAGTAAACAAACCTACACATGAGTACTAACAACCATGCAACAAATCTTCCTGTTACAGCCAGGACAGCCGTTACAGGAGACATGTAGCTCACATATTATAAGCACAGGTTTCACAAAGAGTTTTCCCACAAAGGAAGTTGCTGGTGGAGTCTCTGCAGCACAGAGGAAATAGACGGGCAGACGTCAACACTAACAAGCTGCTGCCACCAGCTCACAGCTACCCAGGCAGCAAGCAGCAGCAAGCCCCACAGCGTACAGAGCCTTGGCTGCTCAGGCAGAAGGAAGACGGAGGTTTGAGAAGGGCACCTGCCCGGGCAGACGGCTTAGGATACCAGGTTGGGGGAAAAGAAGGAATTTTCACCGCTCTGACTAGTCAGTGCACATCTCCTGTAGCAAGCTGTCTCCCCTTTGAAAAGCTCAAAATTACTGATATTGGAGCTTCTCCACAACTCCAGTGAGGTGTGATCAATGGAGCATGAGAACATTTTCCAGGTCACTCCCACCTTCTCCCTATAAAAGTCTGCAGTACCATTCAGGTTACCAGCTTCTGGACTCATTCAATCCACTGCTGTGGTTTTTAAAAACCCAATTCTGCCAATGAAGCCTCCACATGCTCCCATTAAAAAAAAAAAAAAAAAAAAAAAAAAAAAAGGGGTTTTTCCCCCTTTCCCGGCCATCTAAAAAAAAAAAAAAAAGAAAAAAAAAAGTGCCTTCTCCTCTCTTCCAGGCTCCCTACTGCACCTACACGGCAGAACCAGTACTCCCTTTTCAGTCTAACAGCACAGCACTTTCAGCCTTTGCTTGTGCTTGTTTATTTTGTCCATTCTTTTATAGCAGTGGTCCTGCAATGTGAGAGACACAAAGGAAACCATACACAGCCACCTATTCTCTCACTCATTCAAAGTCTTTTCAATGTCAAACTAGTGGTCATGTGCAGCTCTAAACTGGATCAATTCCTTTCTCCTCTAATAAATACAGTCAAAAAAACACTCATGAAACAAAATCAAGCACTTCTTAAAAATCATGTTATGCTGACAATGTATCTCTTATCTCCTGTCTGTCAGTTTTTAAAGACGAACCACCTCTGGTTTATTTTAATCATCAACATGGGAAACTTCAAAAAGGCTGCATGTGAAGTGAGGAAAAAATGATGATGAATAAGCTTGGTAAAGTTGAGGTCATGTTCACAAAGGGCCACGCACAGATCATGCAGAACACAAAAGAACTTTTCCTAACCTCGCCACGTTTCTTATGCAGCTCTGTCAGCTCCTCTTGATGCTTTATCTTCAGCTGTGCCAGTTCCTGCAACTGAGCATCATTCCATGTGCCATCATGTCCTGGACTGGAGTTTGAGAGAGAGGAAGAAGGGATGTCACAAACTAGAACCCAACTGCTCCTGTGCCTTTGACCAGTTTGTCTCAGGGCAAACACCCTAGGATTTTCTATACTACATCAGAGATACAGATCATTCATAACAAACTAAACCACAGCTAGCTCCCCCACAACACACTTCTCGCCAACCAAAATGACATTATATAGTACTCAAAAATTAAACTTACTGAGGACTTACTTCACCTTTATGTACATTTCTAAAACAGAATTCAAACACAAATGAAAGATAACTAGCATTTGCTCGAATTTGCACGAAGGCAATTGAGTTTTATAAGTACATACTCCAAACTCTGGAAGAACTACAAATATTTTACCACCTCAAATTTGTTTTGGAGGGAGCTAGTGGACCTTGAAGATGCTCAGCTTTATAGTCCCAGGTGTTACAAGTCGCTTCTCCATTGTCTTAACTACCTTCTAGCCTCTTATTGTGTAAAGGTTTTGGGGTGTTTTTTAATCGGGTTTTACAACACAGCAGTACCGTGACATAATCTGGAATTTCTATACACCAGAACAACACAGATACCACCCTCCAAACAACTATGATTGTAATGTTTATCACTTTTGTCTTTGAAAGCACAGAGACAGGAACAGAAACTATTTTTTTAAAAGCATATACACACATTACTCATCACACACACAGCCTTTGAGTGAGTTAGCAGCTATACTATAAATTACAGCTGTTAAAAATAATCATAGAATGGTTTGGGTTGGAAGGGACCTTAAAGATCATCTAGTTCCAACCCCCCTGCCATGAACAGGGACATCTTCCACTAGACCAGGTTAATAATTTTATTTAAAATTTGTAACAATAATTTTAAGTTGGTCATTTCTGCATCAGACAAACAGAACAAGGTAGTTGCAAGCATCTGTTTCTGCAGTCATTCTGCATTGTAACAGTCCAGTGGGAAACAGATAACACATTCAGAAGCTGAAAGGTCTCCCAGCGATACCAGTAACCTTACACCCTTCTCAAAAAAACAGATGAAAAAACCAAACACACAACACTTCACTGAACTGATGCTGCACTAGAAGACACTGCATTTCCAAAACAGTGTCCACACAGACAGGAAGCCAAGTCCAGTGGTAATATCCAACACGTCCTATAACTCTGGCCATGCTCACATCTATAGCCAGAACTAGACACTTCTCCTTAGCCTTGAGCTAAGCAAAAGCTTTTTTCCTCAGCTATCTAGGATCAGGGAATTCATTCCGCTTCAAAAAACTCTCATATACCGAGGACAGTATCAGAGTTCATCTTAGTATTTAGTCTGAAGATGCTGTTTCTGTGCATTTCTTTTCATCCTTGTCTACTCGAGCCTCACCTCTTAGAGCAGTTGTTCAACCAGGATCAGATTCGCATAAACTAAAGATGGTTCAAGACAATGGCAGTCATCAGAAAGCTTTTGAGAACATTCACATGGGTGTTAACTACAGCCTGCTGGCCAAACGCTGATGTTTTGCCTTTAATTCCTGTAAAATCAGGACCACTTCTTTCCTTACTAGTAATAGTACACAATAGTCTTAACTATACTTATTTGTTGTATATCCCAATTAGACGTGCATTTACCGTTTGCATTACACAGTCAAAAGAGTTTCAACAGAAGAAGCAAATCCTACAGAAGCAGGAAATTCCGAGCTACCGCCCTGCCTTTTCTTCAGTTACACCAATAGCAGAACCCATCAGCCTTTACCCGCTGGGATTTACACGCTGTCCAGACAAAGGACACACTGCTCTCAAATGGCTTTGCTTTGAATTCAAACGCCAACAGAATGAGCAGCGTGACCTTTGTCTGTCCAGGTTAGAGAGGAAGTTTCCTGAAAAAAATCCTGCTAAAAGCAGGCAGAAGACACTTTCTTCTTAGCATATAGTCCTTATTTAAGAGTGACACTTCACAATCACAATTTTCTCCATTCTCCCCTTCTACATGGTAACACAGACTGAAAGAAATTCAGCCGTTGGCTTCTCCCTGCAATGCTTACAAATTCAGACAATTTCAGGAGTCAGATGATAACCATTAGGCACTAATACCAGGCAAACATTATAAGCATTACAAGGCAGACCAGAAACAGAAGCGCATTCTGGTACACCTCCATACCTTGAGTTTGTGATAAATTGCGTCCAAAATTTGGTCAGATCTTTCTCACTGTATACTGTAAACATATTGCAACTTTATAACATGCTTAGAGTTGGTTGTAATTTATTTTTAGCTCAACAGATTGCCCAGCTTGTTTTATTCCAAGTTACTGTAGTAACCTAGAAGTTGTTTACGTAATGCATGACACAATGGTTTAGGTCACAGTACGCATGACAGACAGCTGACTGACAGAAAAGGAATTTTAAATACCTGATCTCATGTCTGCTCTGCATGTCATATTTTTCTGCTTGAAGCTTATCAGCCAGCACAGCATGAAGATCCGACTTCTCTAATAGCTTGTTATCTGAAAGGGCAAGAAGTGCAATTAAGAAGATAACCAAAAAGCAAAACCAGATTCCACCACTGCTACCAGCTAAGATCGATCTTTAATTATTCTGACACAACCAAACGCTATGTATGCCTCCACCACATTAGTGTGCGCTCCTCTTTGATGTCAGCCGGCCAGGGCAGTATTCAGCTACAAGTCTAAGAATTCCTCATTAATCCAGACGCTGCACGGGGCTGGTCTTATGAAAGTTTGATAGGGAGGCTGCTCAAGTGCATGGCTATCTGCTAAAACACAAGGGGTTCAAAGCTCAGACTCTTTATTGCCCCTCAGCTGACAGCACCAAGGAGAGCAGACCTGCCAGGGGACTGGTCGCAGCCAACACCGCACACAGCCCTGCCGAGGTCTGGCTGTTTTTCCCCCCTCGGCGTGTGGGCCAGCAGCGCTGGGTGACCATGAGGAAGAACTTCTTCCCTCTGAGGGTGACGGAGCCCTGGAACAGGCTGCCCAGGGAGGTTGTGGAGTCTCCTTCTCTGGAGATATTCAAGCCCCGCCTGGACAAGGTCCTGTGCAGCCTGCTCTAGGTGACCCTGCTTCGGCAGGGGGGTTGGACTAGATGACCCACAGAGGTCCCTTCCAACCCCTACTATTCTGTGATTCTGTGACCCTCACTGCCATTCGCTCCTGTCACCGCTGAGGCAGGACAGGGACGGGCAAGCACGCGCCGGGTAGAAAGCGCTGGCCCCGGAATCGCTCCAAATTTAACAACAGACCACGAGCGTGGTCAATAGCACTGCTGTTCTCAACTCCACAAGCGTCTGAGCGGGAACTGCGCGCACAATTCAACAACTCGGTCTCTGTCCACAGCACAAACTCGCTGTAGCCTGTGAGGGAACGGAGAGCAGCAGCCGCTCGCTGCCCTTCAGGACGCAGAAACCCCGGCTTCCCTCAGCCCCGCTTCCCCCG